GCTATTGTGAAGGAGTTCCGATCGTCTCTTTCGGACAGGACTGCGGCAAGCTCCGACAAAGGAGGACCTCTTTCTCTTGCCGCATCCACTCAAAACCGTCCCTGCGACCGTCCAGACAGTGCTGATGCGTCCAACAATGACAGTGGGGAGGGTCGAGAGGAAGTACCGTTAGGCTGCAATGATTGCTCCACATCGCACTGCCAGTGCATTGAGGATGCGTTCACCATGCCAGGAGTCGTGGCTCAGGAACAGTCCAGACGTCTTGATACTACCAAGCCTGGTCGTTCCGAGCCTGAGATCAAGCCAGACCCGGAAGAGATGGAAATTGATTTCACTTCCCGATTTGCCGCCATTCAACAACAGGACCATTCGCCGACATCCGTTTCGTCCCCTGCTGTTGATCCCTGTGGGTTCTGTTCAGATGGCACGCCGTGCATTTGCGCAGAGATGGCCGCTCAGGAGGAACAGCGTCCGCGAAGGAACTCGTTTGAGAATAACCGACTTGCCCCGATCCAAAATCTGTCCCAGTTCACACCACCCCCTTCCGACGGCGACGTCCGCTCGGAAGTTACGCTGCCACCCATCAGCCAGGCTACAAATCCCTGCGCAAACGGACCAGGCACATGCGCTCAGTGTCTCGCGGATCCCCGGAGGACCCTTTTTTGCAAGACTCTGGCCGCCTCCCGATCCCCTAGTGCTGCCCCGTCGGGATGCTGCGGAGGCAAAGGCGCCGATGGCGGGTGCTGCCAGTCGCGTAACACCAATGTCTCGCGCGGCGGGTCTGGTCCCAATAACAATTCGACATCGGGATCTTTGACCGCACCATCCTTGACTTTATCTTGTGCCGACGCCTACACGACCCTCTCACGACATCCTAATTTCTCCCGGGCCACCGACGAGCTATCGTCATGGCTGCCCAAGCTTCATACCTTGCCTAAACCTCGAGACTTTCCCTTAAATGATCGTGGGGTACCAAGGGCCGCTATGGAAGTTGAGGCTGCGAGTGTGATGGGCGTGTTGCGATACTTTGACCGACGATTTGCCGACAAATAATTTATCGCTTTTCTGCTTGCAGAATCACTCTCGTTCTTTACTTTCTCTTCACTTTTTGATGATACCCAAACTGACTCCTGACAATGTCCGAGTTTGTATTATACACCTTCCCCCGCATTATCCCCCTTCACTTGTCTTACCTCCTTGGACGGGCGTCCGCTATCTTGCAAGAACTTTTCTTTATTTTCTTCATACTTCCTCGTCCCACTAGAAGAGGGCCAGCGATCATGACTCTTCAGCCGCATCGCTGCAGCCCCTGCCTTCATTGATGTTGGATGCGATAGGTCGGGGTTTACCAAAAAGGAGGCAACCAGAAAGAATACGGTCTGGTCGAAGTAGCGCGATGGGGTCTAAAAAACGATTGGATGCACATGTATGTGACTGATGATTTAGACGGCGAAACGAAATGGCGTTCTGGGCTGCTTTACTATTGAAGTTGCAATTTTTGGAACACCTTGGACTACAAAGTCAATCTATAAAAACAATGCTTAGACAGGATTGTGTATACCTTGACCGAAATGAATAGAAGAAAGAGTGATTCCATTTCCGCTCCATGTTCTGAATGTACGCAGTCGGTCGTAGCCTGGTTGTTCATGATGAACGAGTCAACGTTTTAAAAAGTGCTCGGACCATTCGTGTTGCTTGACACCAGATAACCTCCATCGAATGATGTATCGGTACAGGCATGGTATATACGAGCCTGGAGATGGAGCTTAAACACGTCGCCTCCTTGGGAAATGGGTATTATCTACATACACATACATACGTACATAAATCAACCGGAATCGCTAACGGGCGCAACGCCATCCACTCCGGCCCTGGCTCCGAACGCAGAATAACTAGTACATGGCGAGAAAGATCGCAAAAGAGAGGAGTATGTGGGGAGAAAGTCCTCCAAAAGTGGAGTAGAGAATGGTTTGGATAGGTAGGGTGAAGGGTAAAAGAAGCGGGAGTTAGTCAAGGAAATGAGCAGGGCGTATTACACCCCCAAGCTTCAAGACCCAAGGGTGATCAGAAACGGCCACCGCTAACCATCACTTCCTCTTCCCCTCCGCCTCCGATGGAGCCTAATAGGCCGGCGCCCCAAATACCGGCGATACCCCACATACCGATTCTCCAGCCCCGATAGAGGCCGCCGATGCCCTGTCCCTGGCGTTTCCTGGAAGAGATGGGCTTCCCGAGAACACGCTCAGCATCGGAAGACGGTGCGCTGACGCCCTCTTCATAGACTACGCCCCACATCGTTCCTACAATGCCGCGGTAGGTCTGAGGAACGGGAACGATGGTCTCGACCGCAGATGTCTCCTCAGCAGCAGCGGGCGTGTTCGAACGAGAGGTGGCGGCATACTTCTGCCGGATACTGGGCGATGTGTACGTGGCAATCTGTGCACGACGCAAGACAGTCTCCAATGGAAATCGAACAGCAAGCTCTAGGCCGGATCCCAGGAAAGCAAGAAGGTTCCACATGGAGGGATTCAGAACTGGGTCGATCGATAGGTAGGTCTTGAAGAACAGCGGTGTAGTAGTTGTGATAAAATTGGGTAGACTCGAGTGCAGAATGGTGATAGGGATCAGGTGGGAAGGGATCATGCAGTTGGGGGTGGGGAGCTGTCGAATCGCTCGGAGGAGTGAACGCGGCCCATGAGTCGCTGGGGTGAGGATGAGGAAGGTGCGAGCGGTGTCAATCGGGGACAACAGCATGGCGGACAGTGACGAAGAAATAAAGGATAGCACCAATGTCGCAAAAGGTGATGTCGACGTCAGAATATCGGCTGTCATGGATGACGCAATATCCTCTTCTGGAAATCCCACAATGGCAGACAAGAGACTGCGTATAAAGGTGTTCAACGTCGGCAGGAGGAGAGAGTAGATAAAAGTCGCGTTGGTCGCTTTCCATGGCGAAGTTGGGCCACTGGTCGTCCACAGTTGTGATAGGACCTCCATCAACGAGGAGGGGTTCTTGATTGTAAGGCTATACTTGGGTGAGGACGGCGGAGTTGGTATATAGCCGCTGCGGTCTGTGATATGGCGTCGAGACTTTCGGCGCCGTGCAGCTGTTGGCGATGTGGCCATGGGAGCTGCAGAGGTAAAGTAACTGCTCTCGTCATCTGAAGTTTGGGAGTCCTGTCACCATCAAAGATGCTTGTTAGCAACCGATTTCTAGACGCGCTTTGAGAATATTCCAGATACTGGCAGCTCATACTTCATCACTTGCATCGAATGAGTCCATCCGACCTGACTTCCTGCGTTCATCCGCAGGCCGTTGCCCATCTTGCGAGTCGGGCACCACATACGCTTGTAGGATGGTTTTGGCGACGTCAAATGGCTGGGCAGTCAGCACGCTGGTGTAGCGCCAAATAGCCGCATCCATTGCCTCTCGAATCCATTCTGATAGCGAGGGAGAGCTCTCCAGGTACTCTGAATAGTCCAGATCCGGTAGCAGGTCGCGAGCGGAGCTTCCGAAGACCTGTGCGGAAGACGGAGCGGCGGTATGTGAAGACGATGAGGCGTTGGAAGCTTCAAGGCCAAACGACGGAGGGACATAGTACGGGCGTAGAGGATTGGGCCCTTCACGGGTAGAATTCATTATGGCGGCTTTATATCAATCAGTAGATATAGCTCAAAATGTTAAGTATGTGAGATAAGTGGTGGGTAAATCCTTTTGCCCAGAGCCGGGAGATGATTTTAGATGGAGCTACGAAAAGTGACGCCGATGGATTTCTCAAGCTGCGCTTTATGTCCGAATTTCCCGCCTTTCGGGATTTTCTTTTCTTACATCCATCGACCATATAGATATCTTCGTCATTCCTGGTCAACTCCAGAGCTGTCTTACTCCCTGTGAAGGGATATATTCCTTTGATCATTTAGTAGCTTGTATATTGTTTTTTTTGCCTGCGACCATCCGTTCTCATGTTCTGGAGGGAGGCTTGTCAGCAACTGCGTTATGCAGCACCAAAGACTGCGAAGGGTGAGCGCATGTGGCTGCCATACTCCAGGAGATTCATCAGCAGTTCTACACAAACGATGCGAGTTCAGTCGTATGGCAGGAGAATTGCGCAGATTGGGGGTGGTCAGAGGACATTCAACTCCCCGCGGCGAAGCTTCTCGGTAACTGCGGGAGTGCAGCACGGCCATATTACACCTCCCAAGCCTGGTGAAGAGTGAGCCAATTTCAGGAGGCAGAGGGTAGCCATTCGATGTCTCGTTCATCGCTAATTTATGTCATCCAGGCTTCATGTGTCATTCATCGATAAGGACGGACAGAAGCACGACTTCGAGGTAGCTGAGGGAGACAACCTGCTGGACATTGCGCAGGCCAACGATTTGGAAATGGAAGGTTCGTGTTTACTCCTGGGCTGTGTATGCGACTGTCCGCCTGCTTTTTGCTCATCTTAATCTTCCCGTGTAGGTGCATGCGGAGGGTCTTGCGCTTGCTCGACCTGCCATGTCATTGTTGAGGATCCGGAGGTGTTCGACAAGATGGAGGAGCCGTCCGATGATGAAAACGATATGCTGGACTTGGCGTTTGGATTGACGGAGACCTCACGTCTGGGATGTCAGGTGGTGATGAACAAGGATCTTGACGGACTTGTTGTCCGACTACCTTCCATGACACGGAATCTGCAGGCCAGCGATTTTGCGCAGAAGAAATAGCTTGGTGGAGTGGACCAGAACAAAGGCGATCTGTATATTAGCAGGGATTTCCCCCCTTCATGAATGAGGTTATATGAGCAGATTACTGGATGCATTTGGACGACAATGATCATATCACTGGGTATCTACAAGGACTGTCCAGCCCATTGACTCGTGGGAAGTCAATAAATGTATAACAGGTGTATAACTTTTATTCACAATGCAATAAACATCATCCATACCCCTAACGCCTTGTAAATGCCTTGTTGCCCTGTTCATACAGAAACCGGTTCATCCTGATAAGAGTGCCTCCTTTAAGCCTCCTCGATGTTCAGCGGTTTCCCCTTCTTTCCGCTGATTAACTCAAGGAAGCCTTGTTTGCTGACTTCGTTGACGGTCTTCTCTCGTTCGCCCATGCCAATGGTACCCTTCTTCCGCTCTTCCCTAGCAGCCTCTTCTCCACGGACTTGGGCTGCGCGAACAGCATTGAACAGTTTCACCACACCACGCTGCGCAATCTTCCGAAGACGCTTTTCCTCCTCTGCAACCACACCAGTAAGGCCGCGCTCAACGCCCATGACATCGCGCACGCGGCCACGGTCTAGCTCCTCCTTCTTTTCTGCACGGAGCTTCGCCCGCGCCTGCTTGTCCAGTTTCTCGTCCGCAAGTTCGCTAGTAGTTTGCGCTGCTGATTTACTGCGTGACAGGACCGGGTCCGCCCGAGCTGATGTAGGCAGTTTGGTCGAGAGAATCTTGGAAATAGATGTTGAGAATGCGGTAGGGTCATTTCGTTTAGCGACGGGCCTGCTGCGTCCATTTGTCGATGTGGGCATTGAGGTATCCGAGTCTCCATACTCGTCATCCTCCATATCAGAGGAACCTGGCGAGTCCGATGCATGGTTGTCGTCCGCGTCGCTCTCGTTATCGCTAGCAGCAGAGCTGTCGTCGCTGTCTTCTGCTTTCCTCTTCTTTTGAGCGCCTAGCGACCTTGTCTCACTTGATGCTGGCTTCTGTGGCTTCTGTTCTACTGGCTTCTCTTCTTCCTCGGCATCGGAATCAGCCAGATTAACTGCTTGGAAATCGGCGGGCTGTTCATCTTCCGTTTCGTCGGAACTGCTGTGGTATTCGAGCTGCTTTCTGAACTTCTTCTTGGGCCGACCGGCCTTATTCTTCAGACTGTCCAGGACCTTGCGCTTCTTCGCCATTGGAGGAGCCATCGTATCTTTTTTCAAATGCGTTGGTGATTCAAACCTGATGTTGGCTGTAGCTTGTCTCTGCGGCGGTTATTGAACAGTAACTTTTTTTTGCATTTTCTCTTTTGACGGGCGGGAGAGAAAACCCCGAGCTCCGATTGGCCAGCGGGGCACTCCAGACTCTCCGCATCGCTTCTGGTGTCCTTTTGCTTGTGCATCTCGTGGGCTGCAGAGCAATACCATCCTCTCGCACTGACACTCCGTTTCTCTACGGAATTTTGTGGATTCAATTTGGAACACTTATTTTCTTCTATCAGCCTTTTCAACATAGTCGATATCCGCCATGGTCCTTCAGGATCTCGGGCGGCGAATCAACGCCGCCGTCAATGATCTGACACGCTCTAGCAACTTGGATGAGAAGGTGAGTTGCTCTGTCTTCCCTTCTGTCTTAGGAAGCCTTTGAGCCGATACTGACAGCTGCTAGGCCTTTGATGATATGTTAAAAGAGATCTGTGCCGCATTGCTATCCGCAGACGTCAACGTTCGCCTCGTTCAGACCCTTCGGAAATCCATCAAATCCAGCGTGAACTTCTCCTCGTTGCCACCTGCCGTCAACAAGAAGCGCCTGATTCAAAAGGCTGTTTTTGATGAATTGGTAGCGTTGGTCGATCCGCATGCAGAGCCATTCCGCCCGAAGAAAGGTCGATCCAATGTGATCATGTTTGTGGGGTTGCAGGGTGCGGGAAAGACGACAACGTGTACTAAGCTGGCCCGACATTATCAGATGCGCGGGTTCAAAACAGCACTTGTTTGTGCGGATACTTTCCGTGCGGGTGCCTTTGACCAGTTGAAACAGAATGCCACCAAGGCCAAGATCCCGTATTATGGTAGTTTGACGCAGACGGACCCCGCGGTGGTGGCAGCCGAAGGTGTCGCCAAGTTCAAGAAGGAACGCTTCGAGGTTATCATCGTGGATACCAGTGGTCGACACAAGCAGGAAGAGGAGCTTTTCACCGAAATGACACAGATCCAGAACGCCGTTACTCCAGACCAGACGATCCTTGTCCTCGATAGTACCATCGGTCAGGCGGCCGAGGCTCAGTCAGCGGCCTTCAAGGCTACTGCTGACTTTGGTGCCATTATTATCACGAAGACGGACGGCCATGCCGCCGGTGGTGGTGCCATTTCCGCCGTTGCTGCGACCCACACGCCGATTATCTTCCTGGGGACGGGAGAGCACTTGATGGATCTGGAACGCTTCGAACCCAAGGCTTTCGTTCAGAAGTTGCTTGGGATGGGCGATATGGCCGGTCTCGTGGAGCATGTGCAGGCGGTGACCAAGGACTCGGCCGCTGCCAAGGAAACGTACAAGCATATCGCGGAGGGTATCTACACGCTGCGGGATTTCCGTGAGAATATCACCTCGATCATGAAGATGGGTCCCCTTTCGAAACTCTCCGGCATGATTCCCGGACTGTCCAACCTGACCGCTGGCTTGGATGACGAAGACGGGTCGCTCAAACTTCGCCGCATGGTTTACATCTTCGACAGCATGACTGCCGCCGAGCTGGACAGCGATGGCAAGATATTTGTAGAACAACCGAGCCGCATGGTCCGCATCGCTTGTGGTAGTGGCACGACCGTTCGCGAGGTTGAGGATCTCCTCTCTCAGCACCGCATGATGGCCGGCATGGCCAAGCGGGTCGGCGGGCAGAAGAAGCAAATGCAGCGTGCGCAAAATATGCTCAAGGGCGGCAACAAGGAGCAGCAGCTGGCGGCCATGCAGAAGCGGATGGCGGCCATGGGTGGTGCTGGTGCGGGCGGTCTCCCCGGAATGGGCGATATGGCAAAGATGATGCAGATGCTGCAGGGTCAAGGCGGCGGTGGTATGCCGGGGCTCGGAGGAATGGACTTGCAGAGCATGATGAGCCAAATGAGTGGATTGATGGGTGGAGGACGAGGACGAGGACGGTGATGTTTTGCCAGTTTTTCTTCTTCGTTCCGAGAGTCACGGCTGTCTACGTTCATGCATCCTTCTTTTCTATGTTCACTGGGTGATTACCTTCACACTTATCCGGTGCCTTGGGCGGTTGATCTGTAGCTCGGATCAGTCTAGCATTTGTACGGCGTTGGGCGTGCCTTTTATTTCGATCATTCGGGACGACTTTAACATATAACTATACTTTTTCAACGGTTGACGCTGTATAGCTCAGCGGAAGACGTGAATGCGCGTGAGATGAGACGATTAAAATTTCCAAACTCCAGTACAAAGCAACCATTACCGTCCCCCAATATCCAAAAGTAAATAAGTCCTATAGCAAGCCCACTTGTCCACAACACAGGAACGATATTAATTTAATCTCTCCGCTCTCTCAGTCTTATCCAGCAACTCATAGAATTCGTCCAAGGCCCGGTGTGCAAACTGGCGGGCCGCCTCCTCAAACCGACCCACCAAGGTCTGTATGGCAGCCTGCCATCCTTCCGCTTTCCGATTGTCCACCAGGACCTTGCCAGGAGGCAGTCGCGGATGCTTGGCGGACGACGCTTGCATCAGGGAATCGTACTCGGGCAAGGGAACGCTGAGTTTGTATTTCCACACAACCTGGTCCTCCACGCAGAGGGTATACGTCAGGACGGAACTCGGGACCGTGACCGTCGTACCGGACGCGGTGTCGATCTCCTCGTCTTGGATGCTGATGTCAATATGGCCGTACTTGACGTTGCCGTCGGGGACGTACTTGACCGCCACATCCTCGGTGTCGGTCTGTCGGTATGAGCGGATGGGCAGATAGAACATGTTCAGCGGGCCGACGCTGAACTCGTGGACGCCTTCTCCCGCCGTGTGTGCCAGGAGATCCTCGCCGGTGTAATCCAGCGTCGGGTCAGGGAAGCGGGTGGCCCCGAACTCGTGGCGGTCGCCGCTGAGAAGGACGACGCGGACGCCGAGCTCGCGCTCAGCGCGCCACATGGCTTCGAAGACGGTGCGGCGCTCGTGCAGGAACCCGCCCCAGGTGTCGGTGGTGCCGACGTGCCAGTTCTTGGTGAAGGGGACACTGGAGGCGACGATCTTCCAGCGGACTTCGGCGGGTTCGGGGCGGGCGAGGTACGCGAGGAGGGATTGAAGTTGGGCGGATCCCAGCATGGTCGAGTTGACTTGCGCCGGCTCGGAGCGATAGGCGCGCGTGTCGAGCATGAAGAAGGAGGCTGGGCCGTGGATAAACGAAAAGTATGTCGTGTTCTCGGGCTTGGCGAACGCCATCGGTGGGATGGGAGGATTCACGCTGACATGGTAATGGATATAGGGGTCAGCGGCGGCGGGATAGGGCGCAGTGGTGTTTCCTTTGGACCAGTCATTGGCAATCTCGTGGTCATCGAGCGTATGTATCCAGGGGAGGCCAATGGCGTCGTTTTTGGACCATGATGGCGACGAATACACCCTGCGATACTCGCTACGGTAATGAGACACGGACGACCCGAACCGCTGCGGCACATCGACGTAGATGAAGTCGCCGAGGAACATCATGAACGCGGGACGGAGCAGGTCAGGCAGTTTGCCCAGTGTTTCGGTCATCGTCTCAATGCCGGGAATACGGAGCGAGTGCGACAGCGGGTTGTACGGAAAGTTCTGTTTCATACAGCTCGATGTTACGAATGCCAGTCTGTTGGCCGATTCCGTGCCTGGCAGCGGAGCTGTTACGAAGGTGCCTGCTTGCTTGTTGGACAGAGAGTAGCGGTAGCTGGAGGCCGGCTTCAGGCCCTGGATGGTCACGGACGTCGTGTAATCGGTCGAGTCATCCAGTGAATAGATGATGCCCTCTTCGACCCATTTCGATGGGTCATCTTCCAATATCTCCTGATAGTAGATTACCAGGGGAAGTTGCGCGGAATCGGGCTCTCGTACCAGCAGATTGGCCGTGGTGGGAGAGACATAACCGATGCGTGAAAAGGTGAGACTCTTGCCCGAGTGGAAGACCACACCTCGTAGCATGAAGTCCAGAGTCAAAAGCGTAAGCACAATGTTCATCAAGGCTGTCAGGCGCGTCGCTATGGGCGATCGACGACATGGCAAACCAGTCAACAGCGTCTTGAGCGGCTGAGCTTTAGATGAGCGCTCCATCCTTGCTGGAGCCCAATATCAGCACCACGGACAAAAATACGAAGAAGAGGGTCATCAATTACTGGAGTCTCGGGCATTTTGTCCATTATTGCGCGGAGCAGCACTCTCGATATCCTGATAGATTAAGGACCGCAGTGATGCGAGGTACACTGCCAATGATGTAAAAATAACGGGCGGAAAATGATGACCAGGGACCTAGTAGCAACTTAGTGGACTATCTCGAGAAATTCAGGGACGAAGGAAGACCTACCCATCGTAGAAATAGAAAGGTCGCCAACCTCAGGATCGCGGAACTCGTTGCGGCGGCAATCCGCGGGAAAGACACCATGTTCGCAAGTCAAGTCGTGGATGAGCTACCGAGAGGGAAGAATCATCTCAAGTTAGATCAGGTAGTCTGTTAGAAAGAGGATAACGGTGTAAACCCGGGGTGAAACAGTTACGAAGGAGCGCGTGCATCGGACAGTGAGCGGACAGTGAGCGGACAGCGGCGAATGGGGGGTTGGTGGTATGACGACATTCGCTGCAATTGACTCTATATGCCACTCTCTATCGCCATCCCCAAGTCAACCTCCCCCCAGATGAATCTGTAGGTGCTATAGATTGACTATTGGTCTGTACACATATCCTAGGATCTATGCTTCAATATTATTCTATTGTTGATGCATCATATCTCGAAGCACGTTCATCAAACTGTTGGCCATAGGTCCCGCGGTAAGCATCTGCCGAGCAGCAGCTAGCACATCTTTCATGTGCATACTAAGCGACATCTCTGCTGCCCATTGCCATGGGTTCTGTTGCTCTCCAGGCATGGAATTGAAGTATTCCCAGCCCATGACACCTCCAAAGTTCGGAAATTGTTCAACCAACACTGCGAGAATGGGGCCGATCTTTTCTCGCGGGACGTAGCCTTGCGACCCGTTTCCTGGGTTCGTCAGCAGCCCGTAGACAACGCGTTGTGGTGACCATCCTTGCGCCACAATGGCCGCATACATCCGAGGGTCCTCGGCCAGACCCCAGCCGTTGTAGAACTGGGCATTGTACCAGCTGATCTTGGACCCTCGTTGCTGCTCGAGCTGCCGGTAATCGAACCCAGAAAGGTTACCAATTCCCAAGAGAGCCGCCGCGACAGGCGCTAGGGTGATGATAAAGCCATCGCCCAAGTCCAGCTTCAATCGGTCGATCAGCCGAATGATGCCGGACAGAGACATTTCCTCTTCTACATCCAGATCCAGCCCGTCTAGCTGATGCCGCCGAACCATCGCTAGAAGAGGTTGGTAGTACCGCTCGAACTTCTCCTGGTCGCCATCCAGACACCTATAGGACCCCTGCGCTGCCCCGCCGAGCATTCCCATCACCTTGACACCGCTGCGTTTCAGCATGGGCACCTCCGCCCACAGCGGGTTATACATCTCATGGTCAGGTGGATCATCGTTGAGCGTGATATGGCCCGGGTCCTCGTTCAGATGAAAAGCTGCGATGATGACGTGGGTAATGCCGGTGTTGTTCTTCACTAGCGGCAGCACAGAGACATAGTCGCCACGGTTCGGACACAGGGTCTGATGGTAACAAATGACACGGTGGTGCTCGGGTCGTCCGGGCACTGGAGGCATGATTTATATTGATTTAGATGTCGCATAGAGAGATACGTCGATGCGAGCCGTCCTGTGTAAGGATCGCTGCGGGGATGCGAGATTAGGAGATGGAACGGATCGTCTGTTGCCCCGCTGACAATATCGACTGGGGTATCCGTCCAAATGTAAACACCATTCCCTGGTGATAATGTGCTATTGAAACATGTGTGGATCACATCGAAAATGGCTGCCTCTGCAGCGGGAAGATCGCCAAAAAAAGATAGATCGAATGAAAGATGGCCAGTCTGTTGATACCTTGGAAGACTCCAGCTTTCGTCTCCAAAACATAAAGCCGGAGATACTGCTGACTCAGCTCTCCCTTTTTGACTATGAGTATATAACAGACAAGATGCTATATTATTGCTCGTAGGATATCATATCATACAGTATCTACCACATCAAATGTAATTACACGATCCGTCACCAAGCTGTATGTCCACCGTCAACGACAAGGCAGCTTCCCGTCATGAAACTGCTTGCGGGTGAGAGCATGAAGATAGTGGCTCCTGTGAACTCTTCAGGAGCCGCCAGTCGACCTAGCATATTCTCCTTCTCCCATGTTTCTTTTAAGCCGGGAACCTCCTCGAAGTTCTTTTGAACCATGGGGGTGATGATATGCCCGGGACAGAGCGCATTCACCCGGATTCCATGCTTACCCCATTCCATCGCCAGATTCCGCGTGAGCTGAATGACTGCTGCCTTGGAGGCGTTGTATGCAGGACAGGTCAGGCCCTTGTTGGCGATCATTCCTGACATACTGGCCACGAGCACAATGGATCCGGGCCGCTTGGTCTGCATCATCTGCTGCGCGACAGCGTTCGCGGACATGAAGACGCCTGTGAAGTTGACGTCCATCAAGTCTGCGACATCTTGAGGAGTGTGGTCTACCGCCTCTTTGACACGCTGAATGCCCGCGGCTGCTACCAGTCCATCGATCTGCCCGTGTTCTTTGGCGATCTTACTGATCGTCTTGTTCAGGTGTTCTCTGTCTCGCACATCGACATGATGGTAATGTATTGAGCCCTCCAGGTTCTTGGACGCTTCTTGCGATAGTGCGAAATCGGGGTGAGGAGTGTCTAATCGATCGAAGCAATGCACTGTATGATCAATTGGGTTAGCTTTGAGGAATCATCAGCATGTGCAGCCAGAGGAGAGTCACCTTGTGCGCCCGCTTGTACCATGGCTTCAGCTATGGTAAGCCCCAGTCCTCGTCCGCCCCCGGTGACAACATAGGCCTTGCCGCGTAGACTGAAATTAGGATAGGCGTTTTCTGTCGAAGCCGCAGCAGGCTTGTCATTCTTGAAAGCTCCCGGATCTAAGCGCAGAGTGGACGAGGAGAACGTTCGATATGCCGTAATTGGAGCGGTGACTTTGGAAATTCGTCCAGATCGGGTGATGGACGCTGGTAGCGAATTGAGTAAGCGTATTGAAGCCATTCTGTGCGTGTCTATCGTTAGAGTATGAAGTTTCTGGAGTCACCAGTCGTTCGAGGCTTCTGAATAAATGCCAGTCCTTTATATCTAGCACTACTACTAGCCATCTTGAGATTATGCAATAGATAAGATCAAGATCCTGGGGACCACGGGTGAAATTCAGGGCAGGTTTCCATCGACCAAGGCTGAGGCTTGACTGTTGGATAGTATGACGTTTGCATAAGGTCAGATGCGCCTATCTGAGCCAGATCTCTATCTTGGAAGTTGATGCACGACCAGTCCACGACTTATTTGATGTAAACTGTGAGATCATTACTTTAGTGCTTCAGCAAGCAGAGATTAATTAATATTAAACGCATTCATTTTACCTGTAGGGGCCTGCTGACTCATCGTTGGTAGAATCTTGATAGTTACTTGACTCTATTTCGACGATCACACAGTTACTAAGTCTGCGAACCAGCATCATCTCGCCTCCTGCATACACAAGAGGGATTCTCATTTGTATGCAGTCACTGCTACCTCTCTGAATATCTTATTACTAGTCAATCTGCTAGTAAACTGAGTCGGTCATCTGTATCTACAGTTTGCCTGTCCACCCCCACATGGCCATGACGATGTTTTAGCCATGACATATATGGCTGTCAGACGGATTTCGTCTTCCGACCAATCAATGCACGTTCGAGTGAGCAAATCATGATTGTCGATAGTTTACTTTGCCATGCGCAGACTCTCGACATTCCAATAAACAGGGAGGTGATTTGTCGATCGCCTCCTGACACAGTATATCGAGGGTTCTTGCCATGCAGGAGGCAACTGCAAGCATCCTGGCAGGGCTACATAAACGATCTGCCTTGCAAGGTAGACTACAGTGCCCACTCGACTGGTGTCAGCTTTTTGATTCCTTCCGCCAATCGAATCTTTACGATCTACATATCTTACGAATTAGGGAATCCTCTAATCTTCTAACCGAAAATTATGCAACGCTCCCTGTTTCGTCCACATCTCTCGAACCGTCTCGGTCGATCTCCATCTCTCTGGCGGACTACAGCCGCAACAGTCACAACTAGAGCCGACCCTCACCCAAACCCAGGCAATTTTGCCAACCGTCCCAAGGAAGAGCTCTCCGAGATCGGTCGTAAGGGTGGTCGCAAGGGAGGTAGAGCCAGGGGTGTTGGAGGCTTCCATGATATGGACCCTGAGAAACAGGTGAGACTAGGGAGGCCATGCATCATGTTATGCATATAGTGACTTGTCCATCGGCAGCACGAAATCGCCTCTCGAGGAGGTCGTGCGACCAGGAACGCAGCTGAACAGGCGGAGAAACATCAGGGCGTCGCTGGAGAGAGACGTCGCACTCATGACCCTTCAGCAGCAAGTCCAGGGTTTGAGGAGTCATGGACAGCATAAATGTCTCCAGAGATTTTCTGATGTAGATTATAGATAGGTGCATGTATATCTAGATGTAGACAGAATCAACTTGCTAGATATTAGATATCTCCCTAGAATATGAAGCCCCAAGTACTGAGGATGTTACGTCACGGTCACTTTTCCGCCAGTCCCAATCAGGCATTCTATAAACAATCTACCGTTGTTGCCTGAGAACTCAGGCAGACACAAGGTGCGCGTTTCTCTGCATCGGAGATCATCCACTCACCTATCAATCCGGCGATAATAATCAATCCTTCTCAATTGGTTTTCTTCGGTCATCTTCGTGTATCGCATCGAGATTCTTATCGCATTATCAATATAATCTGTCCATACAACCACGCAACTGAACGATGCTGTTCGCCTGAGCGAACGCTCGACTGGATCTCACCATGGCCGACACCCGCTACACTTCGCCAGACCCAACAACCCACGACACGGTCGGCGCGTCTACAATCGCTACACCTTTGTTTATGCCATCGTCACCTCCTCCTGCTGAGGAGAGAATGGTTGATGCTCGCCCACGTGCCGATAGCCCTGTTTCCGACCGTGTCGCTGCCGAGAGTGACGGAGCGCGTTCGCCAGCGCTATCTAGAGCTTCGTCTCCCGATCATCAAGCGAATGAACTCGATGCGCGACTAGCGGAATATACTGTGGATTTTCGCGCTTTATCAGGCACACAGTTAGCTCGTGATGATGATACGCTACCGGATCTGAAATTTCCGCATGAGGAGGACAAGCTTTCTGAGGTCGGTGGCCCGGAGGACTTTACTGCCAACATGGAGAGGTATCTGATGGGTATGGATGATGACTTGGAGGACAAGGATTGGGAGGAGGGTCAATCAGCGCTCGTGAAGGACAATCCTCAGCCAGCGATTACGCTGGATGACAAGCATGAGGGACAACAAGAAGAAAAGGAGACGGACCATGAGCCACAACAGGGGCATGGCTTACAGCAGCCTGGCCCAGATGATGAAGCGGAAGTTGGCGAGTATAGTGAATTTGGACCCCCTGTTGACATGTCCACCCCATCCCATTTCCTGCGTAGGACAGGCGCTTTCGCCAAGGAAATGACCCAGCTGGAAGATATCGAGGAGGATCCCGACGATGAAGCCCAACCAGTTTCCACACCGTCTGTCCAGAGACAGACCGCTACACTACAGAAGGATACGATGGAATCAAACGAGGATTTACGGCTTCAAATCGCCGAATTAAAAGCAGCGATTCGAGACCGCGATCAGCAGCTGGAGAGAAACCATAGACGGGTACTGGAAGCCGCTTCTGCGGGGGAGCAGATCAAGCATCTGCAGGCTGAACTCCAGAAGAAATCAAGCCAGTTGGACGATCTTCAAGCGAAAATCGACGACGACGCCAATCTGCGACAGCAGATACAGATGCTCCAGACAGAGAACGACGAAAAAGAGTCGTACATGCGGAGATCCTCATTCAGCCAGTCCGGACTCAGTGCGCTTCAGAAACAGCTCGGCGATATGCAAAAGGAGCTACAGAGCAGAGATACGCGCGCGGACCTGGACGCAGAGCGGCTGGAGACGATTGCATACCTACGTCAACAACTGGACCTGGCGCAAGAACAGTTGAAGAAACGCGATGCGACGCTCGAGGACACCCTAGCCAAGCTGAGAGATGTCACCGCAGCGAAAGAGTTACAACTGCGAGAGAAGAACACTGAGATCGATGGCCTCAAGGCTCAAATTGATGATAATCTCATGGAGATTGACAGGCTGGAGACGGAACTAGAGCAGGCGAACCAAGAATACCGAGTTCTTGAAGAGAAGGTTGAATCACTGGAGACCAAGAATCGCCCGCTAGAAGAGAAGAATAGCACTCTTGAAGCCGACCTTAACCGCGCGCAGTCGCAGGTTACGGCTCAAGGAAACGCGCTGAAGGCCATGGCGGCAGAAATGCCACTCGAAGTGGGGGGACGGAATACGTACACCGAGATTCTCGAACTTATTAAAGATCTTGACCCGCACAGCACGACACGCTCGTCCGGGAAGCCTTCCTTGTCAAGGGAGGCAGACTCAAAAGATGATGAAATGGAAGGATATCGTCAGGATTTGGCCAAGGCCCGGGCCGAACTGGAGGAGGCATCTTCGGTTCGGCAGGCCCTTGAGCTCGATTTGAAGCGGTCCCAAGAACAGGCCACTGAGGCGCAGACCCTGTTCAAGTCGGTCGAAGACGAGAATACACGCCTCACTAAACAGATAGACGACCTGCGGACCAGCCTGGATAGAGTTCAAGGAGAACTCAACCAGATGAGGGCGGAGCATGCGGAAGCCCTCGAAACCATCGGCCGTCTTCAGACAGAGAAGAACACGCAGCAACCCAGTCCTCCCCCTTCACCTCCCACGCCGCGCAACATCGGCCAGGCAGAGAAGCTCGAAGAATCGTACCGCGCCCAACTCAAGAGCCTCCAAACCGCACACGCCACCGCCATCTCCACTCTACGTTCGTCTCACGCTGACGCAACCCGCAAGCTACGTGATCTCCTTGCCGCTGCCGAGAAGCGAGAATCAAAACTCAAAGCCGAAGTGCAGTCCCTCCTCGCCGCGCGCGCGACGCAAGATACTCAAATACAGTCTCTTGACGCGGAGGTCAGAAGACTGCAATCTGCGATTGCCGTGAAGGAAGAGGCGGCCGCTGCGCTGGACGAGCGAATCGCCCGGTCCGTCGAGAAGCGCGAGAAAGAGTGGGAGCGCCGCGTGGATCTGCTCCTAAAGGAGAGAGAGCGGATGGCCAAAGCCCTCATGTGGGTCTGGGGGGAGAAGGAAGTCGGCGACGTCAAGGAGAACCTCGGCGAGGATGGGCGACGCGTCAGACAGGCCTATCGATATAAGTATGCTCAGCGGAAGGGAACCGAGGGATAGAAAGCATGAATGCCCTCCCCATACACTCTTCTCTGCTTTATGGAGTCATTGGCGTTTATTGAGGGTCTGCGTGGAGTTGTTTCTATGTGTAAGATGATAACGTTTCTAACCGGTTGATACTGGGCTCTGGGCATAATTCAGGCGTAATGGCTTCTCCAGGGCAACGTTTCACTGCCGTGAGTTACGATTGGAATAGCACTCAATTCAAGTTCACAGAACGATTTTTGCATAATTCCCATCGCCTAATATGTCCCCTTACAAGGGTGATCTCTTAAGAAAGAGAATACAGATCCAGGATGAAATGAGAATCTATAACGTTTTCAAACATATGACAGAGAAGGAGTTCAGTATAAATACTTCAAAGAAATAAAAGAATACTCATCCGCATATAGATAAGTAAGAGAAGAAGCGAGGGCGTCCAAAGCCAATAACAAACCACGCCTGAAGCCACTTGACCATATCAGACGCACTCTCGGTGATTGGGCTCATGTCTGGCCAGCAGACTAGACAATGACCTAGCTAAATCTATGCATACTGGTGCGATTGGCACCACGGTACGTATTCCCGTCGAGGATGGTGCGCCTCCCTTGATCATCAAGCGTCACTGCTGCTCGAGCCTCGTCCACGGACGAACCTGTCTCCCTGATACTATCCAGGGGACCGTGGCCCAGCGAAGCGAGCCCGCCGCAAGTCGAGCTGCGAGGCCTCCGTGTGCTGGGATAGATGATTTCCACGTCGTTTCGGCGCCAGGCCGGGCCCATGGTACGGTATTGCTCGAACTGCTGGTGAGGGCGGTGGTGGTGGCTCTGCGTGTGGCGGGGGATCTGGTTTGGATCGAACTGGTAGCTTGGTCTTTGTCTTTGACCGTACCGATGCGTGTGACGGCGGGCTACCGTGTTAGGCTCGATGAGGGAAACCCGGCGGCTGGGAGGTCTGTCCATCGGCCGTCGGGCAATCTGATTTGGTGGGATGAGCATGTAAGCAGGGTGCTGGGGCTGATAGGCAGAGAGTGTATTTGAAGGATTGGATCTGTGAAATGTGGCTGGGGGTGCCACGACTTCGGGGGCATCGGCGGAGTTTGCTGTCATTGATCGTGGGCGAGAAGGACCTTTCAACTGAGCTACTGCGACAGAGCTTTCCATCTCAGAAGGCCGATCAGGTGTAGAGGAGGGGGAGGGGTTCTGGCTGGGTGAAGAGTCTGGTGACTGCCCAGTGTGCTCCTGCTTCACAGTAACATCGTCGCTCCGTTCTTGCTGTTCGATACCCCGACGGGGTTCAGCTTCGGCTAGGGCACGGATCTGAGGATCCGCCGACAGAGGAATTGATATTGGCAGGACTTTGAGAAGGGACCTGCAAAGGGATGATATGGACGACTTTTGTCTCAAGTGTCCCAGTGAAGAAGGGATCGGAGGGACCTCGGAAGTTCCAGACAGCTCCGCACAGGGAGGATTCTGGAAGGAAGCCTCGCTTGCAGTTTTCAGCGTTGCGACAGTAGGAGTGCGAGATACTGGGGCCAAGTTAGTCGACCTGACTGCCTCTTTTCCGTAGCGCGAGTCTTACCTGTGGAAGCAAGAGTTGTCCCTGACAGGATCTCCGCTGCTTCGCATGCTTGGTCTGTATCAAGCCGAAGTTGAGACTTTGGCCGTATCGGTCGAGGATGTTGAATAGTCGGCAAAAGGGACTTTTCCATAAGGTCGTCGTTGCCGGACGGTATATATACTCCCTGGGTGCCGAACGTGACATCAGGCCCACGGCAAAGATAGTATATGTCATTCGACAGGCAGCTTTCTCTGTCGAAGCTTGTTTGGGAACAAACACTGTCGCCGCGGATTGGCTGCCGCTGCGAGTATACCCCCAACAGAGACACGTCGTAAGGCCGGCGGCAAAGCTCGCGGGAGCAGAAATAGAGACAGACGGTGATACTGAAGATCCTCATCAGCACTTTCCCCATTACAACTGGGGACTTGCCATCACTTACAAGGATAGAACTGAAATGATAACGGCAGCTCTATGAAGCGCACAGCTGACACCTGTTTTCCAGAAACCACCGTTCATACTGTCCGGAAGACATGAGATCTGCTGCGAAATGACCACCAAGCCTGCCACACTCGCTGCTACCCAGACGATTATTGTCAGCCGCAGCAGATACGTGCACACGCCATGCAAGAATTTCTTTTGCCGCCAGAACCCTTGGACTCTGTTGTATTGCCACGCAAGTAGACTATGCAAAACCACAAGTGGAACGGTGAAGAGAGACTGCGCACTCCACAATCAGAATCGGTTCATCAGTATGACAGGTAGGGCGAGAGAGATCTTACCGCGATGAGAATCAGAACCAAGCTCGGCAGCATCTTGGAATCGACTTGTCGATTGACGAACAAAAATATCACAAGCACCCATTCGATGAGCGACTCCAGCAACAAGACATATAGCGAGACAAATATGACGACCTTGGTCCATGACCCTCGCCTTTGAGGCGTTGTACGCTGATCGGCCATGATGAAATGTGGGACAGCCGCTGGAGACGCTGGATCACAGGCTCAGTATAAAAGAGCATCCACACAGTGGAACAGACTGTTAATCTATTATCTACGCGCACAAAGTGGAGGGAAGAAAGGCCACGGCGGCGGTCGAAGCCGTTGATTGCAGAAGTCTTATTGTCGGGTGATCAAGATAGCTTATAGACATATTGCATAGAGAAGTGTCAAATAGCAAGGTAAAAGGACGAACTGAAGAGTAATAAAAGAAGAGCTGTAATTGATCTCTTGCAGGCGCGTCAAACACGGTGACAAAAAGGATCGGAATGTAGAGGGGAGACATAGAGTGCAATCTGCAGACAGCGTCGACCGCGTGTCCCCAAGCTCCTGAATAACAGCTAAGTGGAAGGAATTGAAGGAATTAAGGGCTCCAGAATGGAAGATTGTACTTCTGGAATGTTAGGCTGAAGGACAGTTGACAGCTCACCAACAGTGATTGATGGTGTTAGGGGTGTGTTGAGGAGTCGAAGATCATTTCAATGACTAGGCCATCGCTCCTCTATCACTTGAAGGAGTTGACCCTTTCAATAGAATTCTGATAAACCTGTGTATGTGCATTAGTATGCAGGAGTCTCAAGCGCCTGGACTCGTGCTTTGAGCCACTGTCGAGGGCAAGTCCTCGATTCTCATCCACTGAGACACAATCATTTTCAAGATCACGGAGTACAAAGGACGAGAACAGCGAGACAGTGCATTGATGGATGAGACAAGGCATTTCTGAATGTAGGAGTGACCACAGGGATACAGGATGGGCTTGTTGAAGAGGAAAAAGGGATGTCCAGTTGGTGCATGTGGTCAACGAAGGGATGCACGTGACCGTCGTGAAGAGGACACATTAGTATTCAGTTCCGAAAGAATTGAAGGGGTCTATCCCCTGTAAGAATCAATCATGAACTGTCTCTTGAAATGGAGTTGTCCTTTTTTTCGCCCGGGTCAAGGGTTGAAGCTATAACGTTATGATGCAATCAATGCCTTGGCTCGGCTCTGCTGCCACCTCATGCTCTCACACCAGAACCGAAGATGATCAAGTGACCCTGCTCATAAATTGGTCTAATCTATCGGTATATATATCGGAATAGATTGCTAATACATAGCCGTTCAGTCCTTTTGAAGAGTCACTCGTTCATATAAGGGATGCTCCGTTTTTCGGTACTTTTGACTCTGTCTCCAAATCAGATGGTATCGCGCTGACCTCGACGTCTTGCCGTCCATTTCGAGGTTCGGCAGACTTTCGGCCTCGCAGTCGGTTCAGCAGAGGGTCGACCACAGGCAAATGTCCATGGCGTTCCTTGTGACGCATAGCCACAAACCAGACGATCACAGTAATCCAGTAGAGGTTATATGAAAGGACGGAGCCATAGGTTGCCGAGTTCGTCCAGCCAAGGATGGCATTGAAGATACCCCATCCTCCGCCACCGTTAACGAGAGGACTACAGCAGTTCACATGCCAGACGCTTTGTCGGATGTCATACGATCCCGGACCGGCACCTGTCTCGGCAGCATCACCACCAATTACGTGGTTCCAAGTATTATTCTCCAGATACCAGACGCCTCGGGAGAAGAGGCCGGCAGCAACCAGGTAGAGGAAGCAAGTCGAGATGATCAGGAAGATCTGGAGGGAGGCTTGGTTTCCTCCTCTGCAGACCATCAGTATTTGAAAACACAGCTGATTCAGGGTGTTCAACATACCGATAAAGTAGGTATCCAATGGCCACTCCCGCGAGAAGACCGGTAAAAACAGGTAGAGGGAAGGCAGTTGCAGGAAAACTGAGACTGACGCCTCCAATGAACACCACCGCTTCGAGACCTTCACGGAGGACGGTGATGAAGGGAAGGAGAAACATGGCGTATTTCTCCGCCCATAGTTTGAGGTTGTTTTTGAATGTACCACGAGTCAACGGCTTTGCCTCCAGGGCCTGAGCTAGCTTGACGCGCCACTTCTCCTGCAACTTGGTGACACGAAGCAGTGCAGCACCCATAATGGTGATGATGACACTGGCTATCAGGGAGAAGATGCCCTCCCATAGGTCCTCCGTACCAGCGAAGTGATCCTTGCCATATCCGTAGAAAGCTCCAATCATGCCAGCTCCAACGCAGACACTGATGAACAACCCAATGGCAACACCCCACCACACCTAGAAGAACGGAAACCACACGATCAGCCTGGAGTTTGGAGAAGAGAGGGGAATACGAATAAATTGGCCTACCTGTCTGATCAGCCTCTTACGTGTGATAGCATCTTGCTCTCGTCCCAAGGTCTGCTTGATGAATGAGAGCAACACAGAGACAATGATGCTGGTCTCGACACATTCTCGAAAACAGATGAAAAAGACTGAGGGCAGGCGAAGAAATGTTAGTCAACCCTTCTAAGAAGCAATTCAAGTCTAGTCAGAAACCCATACTTGGAACAGCAAATACGTCTTTCGTCATCTTGTGAGTTGAGAGGGAGACGACAAAAGATTCGAAAACCGAGACTTGACCATGAGAAGGGGGTTGGGGGTCGGGAGTCGGGGGAGTTGTGGATAATATCACAATCTAGTGACTGATCGATAAAGATTGAAAGATTGATTGATATGATAAATCATCTAAGCAATACCCAAGAATATTGCTTGATTGATTGATAAAAAAAAAATGCACACAGTCACGAGGGAGAAACCCCTCGATTATCTGATTGATAAAATGGCGCAAGAACGGGAACCGCGGTAACAAACAGGAACAGAAGGGTTCGACGCGAAAACGGAGAAACTCAGAATAACGAAGAGGTCTGCTGGTTGGATCGGTTTTACTTGCAGCGAGAACTGTCCTCGATGTGGCGCTCAACCGGCCGAACTTTACGAGCGAATTCGTGGACCTAAAACCCATGGACAGATGGATCATCGGCCCATCGCACACAATTGGGATCGTACGGTCCAATTTTGGCATTCTCTACGGAGTACTCCGTAGCCGTTTTTTCTATTTCGATAATCTAATCTCAGTACAGCTGATTTTCTGGCCGATTCTGATGCAGAAGAGAAAATATCATCGCTGCCCACAAACAGAAGAAGCAACAAGTAATGCCCAAGCACTGAAGACAAGAAAGACACGGCATGATAAGCTCACACTAGAGAGGGTGGATCTTGTGGGCAGCAACAAAAGGACAAATTAGCAGTCGATCCATCATTGGACCCTCTGGAAAATGCCAAGTACCAAGAGCGAAGCGACAGGCTGGAATCGGAGGAGGATGAACCCTGGCATGATGGGGGATGGTTGACTACGACCACGAAGAGAATTCAGGCCAAGCAGGGACACAAAGGCCGGCTGTAGCCAGGGAATATCATTATCATTGTCGTCGTCGTAACCCTAATCAATATCAATCAATCTTATCATTATGAAAATGTCTCATGTTGTAGCTGTAGCACTGCTAACGTAGGTAGCTCGTTCATCTCCCCCACATTAGCGAACCATGCGTCGGACCACAGGATCAATTATCAGACGACGGAAGCCGTTTGAAATTGCATAAGACCAAAGTAGATAGAGTAGATAGACAGTATTATTATTATTATTATAATTTCTGATGAGTACTTTTAGCGACTTGGTGATAATAAAATTGACTTTTGGCACGATCCCGCGGGAGAACTAAAAAAAAAAAGTAAAAAGTAAAAAGTAAAAAAAACGCTCTTATCAATCAGTTGCCATTCCAGCCATCTCCCCATTTTCCTTCTATTGGAAGTTGGGATTCTCTTCCACCTCGGTCCAGTTCTCGACGTCCTCACAATTCGTCCATCATCTTTGGACGTGCTATGGCAGTTGGCTTCCTTTTGTTGACGACGTTTGTCGTTAACATCTTGACAACCTCTGCTGCTACCCTCAACTACGATTGGAATATCACATGGGTCACCGCTAATCCCGATGGTCAATTCGAGCGTCCTGTGATTGGGATCAACGGTCAATGGCCTCCTCCAGTGCTCAATTTCACCATAGGTGACCGCATCATTGCCAAGGTGCATAATGCGCTGGGAAATGAGACCACCAGTGTCCACTGGCATGGGCTTTTCCAGAATGGGACTAACCATATGGACGGTCCTCCATCGGTCACTCAGTGCGATATCGCTCCTGGTTCTACCTTTGTCTACAATTTCACCGTCAGTAAACTATGCGGCAGAAGCTCCTGAGTTCATGTCACTCTAACGATCTGCACAGGTTGAGCAACCTGGCACTTATTGGTACCATTCACACACAAAAGGCCAATACCCTGATGGGCTCCGACAAGCCTTGGTGGTGACCGACCCCAAGAATCCGTATATCGGGCACTATGATGAGGAGCGAGTCATTAGCTTGTCCGACTGGTATCATGACCAAATGCCAAGGCTCTTGAAGTCATTCATCAGCGTCACCAATCCCACCGGCGCGGAGCCTGTGCCCAAAGCGGCTCTGATGAACGACACTCAGAACCTCACTGTGGCGGTCGAGCCAGGCAAGACATACCTCTTTCACTTGGTCAATGTGGGTGCATTTGCCAGTCAGTATTTTTGGGTCGAGGGACACACGATGAAGATTGTCGAGGTGGATGGTGTCTGGACCAATGCGTCGGAGGCCAGCATGATCTACATCGCCAGCGCACAGCGCTACAGTGTGTTGGTAACCATGAAGAACGAGACGAGCCAGAATTACGCCATGGTGGGCAGTATGGATACGGTATTTTGCTTCGATTCTCCAAGATGATGTGATGCCCACAGCTGACGAAATCCTATAGGATCTCTTCGATACACTTCCCGAGTCATTGAATTATAACGTGACGGGATGGCTGATGTATAATGACAAGGCTGACAAGCCAACTCCAGCTCTAATCTCCGCATTTGAGCCTTATGATGACTTCAACCTGGTGCCAGTGGATGGCATGGCGCTGCACAAGGAGGCGGATTACACCGTAACTCTGGACGTGACGATGGATAATCTGGGAGACGGGGCCAATTAGTAAGAGCAACGACCCAGACGGTCTGATAGTCAGGATCTGAGGAACTAGGGCTGACTTTGGAATAGTGCTTTTTTCAATGGCATCACCTATGTCATGCCCAAAGTTCCGACTTTGTATTCGGTACTGACCACCGGCTCAGCGGCAACAGACCCTGCTGTCTACGGGTACAACACTCACCCGTTTGTCCTCAAAAAGGGGGATATCGTCGACATTATCCTCAACAACGACGATGCCGGAAAGCATCCTTTCCACTTGCACGGACATACTTTCCAGGTGATTGCACGCAGCGAAGAGAACGCAGGACACTATGATCCCAGCAACCATACTGCATTCCCATCCGTCCCAATGAGGAGAGACACTGTTATAGTCCGCCCGCAGGGCAACTTTGTCCTCCGATTCCAGGCCGACAATCCGGGTATGTATCTATCAGCCTGCTCGTCGCAACGAAGCTAATTATCGACCACACTAGGCGTATGGCTCTTTCACTGCCACATCGAATGGCACATGGATTCAGGGCTAGCCGCGACCTTTATCGAAGCGCCTCTGGACCTGCAGAAGACACTCAAAATCCCCGAAGACCACTACCAGGTCTGCGAGGCTAGCGGTACACTCACCGCGGGAAATGCGGCCGGAAACACCAAGGATTTGTTTGATCTGACGGGGCAGAATGTATCTCCCGCAGCGCTCCCGGCGGGCTTCACGGCCAAGGGCATCGTTGCCCTGGTGTTTAGCTGCATTGCGGCTATCCTGGGATTGTTGTCGATAGCTTGGTATGACCTTTTGACCGAATTTAGGCGTATGCACTTGTTGACTGACCGGAAACAGGTACGGCATGGCGCCGATTACTGCGCCTCAGACTTGCTCGACGCCGAGTAATGGTTCGGACGAGAATTGAGGGCCGTCTACATTGCAGGAATTGCATTATCCGGCTTTATGTCTAGCCGACGTGAGGTACAGAGACGGTTTAGACCCCGCATTCAGTTGTGGCAGGTCTCTAATGCTTGACACTGTGCTATACGGTAGATTCCTACTGGAGCCGGCACCCGCTTCTTGAATACCACTATGTATATATCCATAATGATACCTTGAATTTAAAAGGAATCCGACATGCCGTTCAATACCGCACCGCAGCTCAATCACAGCACAGCAATACACTCAATCTCCACATCTGTATTCAGCGGCAACGTCTTGACAGCGACACACCTAAGGTACAGCGCATCAGTCTAGATCCCAGAACACATTAATATCATATCACGGATATAACATACGTGCGGCACGGCTTCACATCCCCCCAGTACTGCATATACACCGAGTTCATATCGGCAAAGTTATCCATGTCCGACAGAAACACATTAACCTTGACAACCTTGTCGATGGTGGTGCCAGCGGCCTCGAGGACATGCGTGAGGTTCTTGATGCATTGATGCTGCAAGCCTGCTGTCAGTCATCCTTTTCTTCTTCGTTCGTCACTCAACGAGAGATAAAGCTATATAAAGTACCGTGTGAGCCTTGACATCCCCGTCGACCAATTTCCCTGTTTGCGGATCCATCGCGACCGCTCCAGAGCAGTAGACGACTCCATTGGCGATGATGGCCTGCGAGTAGATGCCCGGGAGAGGCTTGGGGGCTTTTTCGGTGAGGACGGGGGTTTTGGTTGCCATATTGATGTTGACTGTCTTTCTCGTCTATGGAAAGGGGAACTTTGTTGTGCGGGGTACCATCCCCTCATATATATATATCTCTGAGACGGTATCACTCATTATGGTAAATCGGGCATACATGCGCATCTACAATGTCTGGATGCATGAATGATGAATACTTCGTATCTATTGTCGATCTACTCCCCCCACGCGCGGAAACAAGGCCGTGTGCCAATCGCAGGCGGGAAAGTTGCATTGAACCCCTCACGACACGACAGCCCATTGTAACTCGGCCTCAAATTTGACTCGGTAGACATGCACATGCTGCTACCTTGCATTGTCAGGCAATGGGGTTGTCCTTTAATTATCATACCGTGTGTCATACAGTGGATATCTCACACGCTTAAGCGTATGTGGTGATCGCCACGATCGATCATTTCCTTGATATCAACCGCAGAGGATCAGATCGTCCTGAAAGTAGATAGATACTTTGTACACCGTTGCAACCCCCACGACCCTTGATTTAAGACAAGATCTTACTCCGCAGGGACGGAATGTAACCGGCCTGAGGGGAAGCTTCCAAACACCAAAGTAAATGTATCTTCTGGTCTAATGACTCACTATTCAATTCCTCGCTGCTCAAATCCATATCACCCATAAACTGCTCTATAATTCCTGTGAGTGCCAGACCAAAATGTCCGTCTCGACCGACATCTCGCAACCGCCATATCCCTTGCATGACTCCGTCAAGGACAAGCTCGACCCAGAATATGTCGACTTCTACAACAAATATGTGATCAACCTCCAACAAGTCCATCTTCAACCGGTGGCTGCCTCGAGAACAAGCGGTGTTCTGATCCCCGGCGGTGGTCCTCTGCTCGAAGTTGGAAAGACAGAGGATATCACCATCAAACGCAGAGCGTCCGAGGGGCCCGATATTCTGCTCCGCAGCTTCATACCGCCAGGGGAGAAGCCTGCAAATGGCTGGCCGGCGATGCTGTACTTTCACGGCGGAGGATGGGTGCTCGGAAATATCGACACCGAGAATCCGGTATGTACTAACCTCTGTGTTCGAGGGAACTGCGTGGTGGTCACAGTGGATTATAGGTCAGTCTTCGCCGTCGGCACTCTGTCGACGTTCAGTCGCTGACGTTATAGATTGGCTCCTGAAAACCCGTGGCCGGCTGCTGTCCACGATTGCTGGGAAGCTCTCCTCTGGCTCATATCCGACGGTGCCTCGGTTCTACCCATCAACACATCCAAGATGGCGACTGGAGGCTCGTCAGCTGGCGGCAATCTGGCTTCCATCATCACACATAAAGCCCTCACCCTCTCGCCACCGGTACGCTTTCGCGCTCAGCTGCTCTCCGTTCCCGTCATGGACAACACAGCGACCGTAGACAACAACGAGTCCTATCGTCTGTATGAGCACACCCCGGCTCTCCCTGCAGCCAAGATGATCTGGTATCGCAACCATTACCTCCCTAACATAGAAGATCGCGCCAATCCCGAAGCCAGCCCTCTCTTTTATGATGATGACTGGTCGCAACTGCCGCCGGCCTTAATCATGGTGGGAGAACTGGACGTCCTGCGCACAGAGGGGGAGCAGTATGCGGCGAAGCTGAGGGAGGCGGGCGTGGAGGTGGATCTGCAGGTGATGAAGGGAATGCCGCATCCGTTTCTCGCCATGGATGCGGTTCTCAAGGAGGGCAGGCGATCTATCACCTTGATGTGCGATATGTTAAAGAGGGTTTTTTGGGAGTCATGAATCTTTGTCAACCTCGACTATGATATCATATTCATGAGCAGAGTGCTAGAAACCAGTGCCCCAATTGGCAAGATGCTGCGTTAGTTGATCCCACTAGGGGAGAAAAGATCAGTAGACGAGCTTCATGCTACCTAGATGACATTGCCAAGAGGCTGCTGGTTAGACATAAGAGCGGACAAGTTATGTTTCGCAAGACTTAATGCGGTAATCATTCAACATGTGAGTGATATAACGGGGCGTACGGGTAAATCGGTGTCATGCCACAGAGGCAATGCAACGCTCTGCGCGATGACGAGATCAGGACAGACGCTGGACCATCCAAGATACTCATTAAGGAGACATGCCTCCCCATACCAGGGCCTGTATGGGAAGTTGCTCATGAGCGAGATGATTCTGAACTCATACATTGGACTTGGTATCGGCCAGTCCCTGGGCTCCATGACGGCTAAGCGAGCTCCGGAGCGTTGACCCCTAAATTAACAAACCCTGCAACGATCATGGATGCATCCTCGGCCTGGTTCCGTCGCTTGTTTTGTCTCATGCAATCGAGCGTCAGTTATACCGCAACTCCAAGCACTGTCTGAGAAGGGAAATGATCAGAGGACGATGTCGGAGAGATGCCTCAACTCGCTCCAGAAAAAGGATCTATGGAAGAACCATTCTGGAAGTAGAATAGCTTCATGATCGAATGGGACCACGAGCACCCTTTTGCCCCAGTACCTAAAAAGACAGGTCCTGCTAAGAGAGGATAATTCATGACCATTGGTGTCGATGAATATCAAAGAATATCAACGTGACATTAAACGTTATTCTGGCCAAGATATCTTGACAGAGACTCTTGAACTGTCTCTTTACTATACGATCTGTTCAGGCGAGCGCTCCTGAGACTTGCTGCACTCATGCCCAGTTCCTGACTTGTACTTCGTACTTGCGGCGTAATCCGTTGAGTACCTGAGCTAGATCGTTAGCGCGAGCCTTAGCATGAATGGTTGATAAATAACTTGTAAGCACAGAGGACATACTCCATGTGCTTATGATTCGATGCGATCTATCCACCCAAAGGCCTGAGCCCCGAACTGGTCCAGATTGGTGGAGATTTCTCAATTACCCTGGGTCAGTGGCGAGAGACTAAGAGCAGCCTTTGTGTGGATGTAACTCTGCGAATTAGCCTAAGAAGCAGCCTCATAGTAAATTCTATTAGTTAATAACTTCCACTGGCTTGTGATTGTCAATTGAGTGGCTTGAATTTTTCTCAAAGTCCAGCAATAATAATATTGAAGTTGAATATAACCGAAGCCTGGTATTGATTGACTGATTGCCTTGTCAATGATGATATGATCAACAGGAACGACAAACCCTTCGGATGATCCGGCACGTTCTCCGGCACTAGGTAGTTAGGTATTTGTGTCTCATTTGCACTAAACACAAGTCATGATCAAAAATCTCGGATATTGCCTTTTTTTTTTTTTTTGGCCATAAAAGTTGTTGTGACTTTGCTCGAAAGAGGAAAGTGTTGTCCATCGTGGTCCTCGAGGGAAAAACAATGCCAAGCCCTGAATCAGGCCAGCGCTAAATCCTCGCAATATGGTTGGTGTTCCTGAAAGGCCTGGAGCCTGCCAGCGAGGCAACAGCCCCTCGCTAGGCTGGATAAGGAAGGCACGACCAGGCAACTCGACTTTGAGGCTATCGGAGTTGGGGCTAGACTTAGGCTAGTTCCAGCAACACCCATGGAACCAAGCAACACAAGGCTCCAAGGCCCCAAGTCTCCAAGGCATCTCGGACCCTTTCATTCGCTCTTCTGCTTCATCGCTTACGGAGGAAATACAGACTAACTAGCAGCCACCCTGGCTGTCAGCAACTTGGGATACCACAAGGTCGCTTAGTCCCCTTTTACGCCCCTCGCCATGTGGTGTGTAAAAGAAAAGAAAGGGGAAGAAAAGACACAGGTCTTACTTGACTGATTCATGATCGAAGACCCATCCTTTGTGTCGATGGACGGCTCTCTTCATGTATCGCTTGGATTGGATTCATCATCATGGCTGGATTCTCCGGCCTCATCAGGGACTATCCAGACACTAAGGGGCCCTTTCTTGATTTCATCTCCTTGAACCTGGTGGTAAAATTCATTTCATCCCAAGGTCCCAACTACAAACTAATGCATGTCCCGTCACTAATGCGGAACTAGGGACTTTACCATTGATCACTCATGAGTCGTGATAGTGGAGGAATAATGGACCTTGCTCCATGCGGCTCTTTTGTCGACTGTTTCCACTTTCCACGTCGAATCAGCACTCTCATCGCTGCCACCGACTCAACGGTAATATCGGCCGGGTTTATCTCGCAATTTCCGCTGCCACTCGGCTGTCCAATCTGGTGATGCTTTCGAGTCCGTAGCGCCTTGAGACCCCGGCAGATTGCCTGCTACTAGTCGACTCTGACCTCCACCTCTCTCCCATTTGCTCCGACCTGAGAGAAACGAGTCCGTTTGTCCAGTAGGCTGTGCCTGTTGGAACTCAATCTGGCAAGGTGCTGAATAGTGTTCATATTCCTCACTGCGACCTTCTTGCTATCATCCCTGTAATTCCCCATTCGAGACCGTAACGGTGCCTGGGGGAAGTCTGCGTACTATTTTAGGCCAACAATAATGGGATATGGCTGCAAAGACGGCCTTCTGTAATCTCCGAGCTAGCAAGATGGTTGGTCATAACATCCCCATACGTAGTCATATATAGGTCTCCGTCATGTCCACCCCTCTCATTGAAGATATCTCTCTCCTTCTCTTTGGTCTGGCCTTCCCACTTCGCAAGTCTTCCGTCCGTTGAGAGACCGTTCGACTTGCCTGCAGACATTTGTCTGCGTCCTTTCTTTGACCCTCACCGTCTACACTCCTTTCCTGTGCGGTAGTTCGCTGGGATTTTATTCCCGCTGTCATTCTTTTTTTCGCCAACATGGTGTCCAGCAAGTTTTCTCTCGCCGCCACGGCTGTTGCAGCCCTGGCTCCCCTGGCGTCTGCTTTCGATGCCTCCTCGAGATCCAACCTTGCCATCTACTATGTACGTTTTGACCGTAGCATTCGCCTTGGCTTCCAGTTTCTGCATGCTGATCATTGTCTTGTAGGGTCAAGGTCCTGACCAGCTCCGCCTGAGCCACTTCTGTAAAGAGACCTCCTTGGACATCATCAATATTGGATTCATCAACTATTTCCCCGATATGAGCCCTGGACACTGGCCGGGCTCCAATTTTGGCAACCAGTGCGATGGTTCCTACTACGCTACTGATGATGGCGTGGTAACCAAGTTGCTGTCCGGCTGTCATCAAATCATGGAGGATATTCCCATCTGCCAGGCGGCTGGTAAGAAGGTCCTGCTGTCTATCGGTGGTGCCTATCCCGCCGACCAGAGCATCCTCTCTGAGGACACTGCCGTCGCGTTCGCCACTTTCCTGTGGGGAGCCTTTGGTCCAGTCGCTGAGGGCTGGGAGGGTCCTCGTCCCTTCGGGAATGTCGTTGTTGATGGCTTTGACTTTGACATTGAGCACAACGGCGGTTTTGGTATGTTTTCTGGACTCTCTAAAGGCCACATGAACCTCTTTCAGTTGTGACCGTGTCGCTGACGGAATATTCACCAGGCTATGCTACCATGGTCAACACCTTCCGTCAGTACTTCAACCAGGTGCCGGAGCGCAAATTCTATCTCTCGGCTGCTCCTCAGTGTATCATCCCCGATGCCCAGCTCAGTGATGCAATCTTGAACGCCGCCTTCGACTTCATCTGGATTCAATACTACAACACCGCTGCATGCTCGGCTAAGAGCTTCATTGACACCACTCTCGGAAAGTTCAACTTCGATGCCTGGGTGACCACCCTCAAGGCGTCTGCCAGCAAGAACGCCAAGCTCTATGTTGGTCTGCCGGCCAGTGAGACTGCAGCCAACCAGGGTTACTACCTTACTCCCGATGAGGTGGAGTCCCTGGTTTCCACCTACATGGACCGATACCCCGACACCTTTGGAGGTATCATGCTTTGGGAGGCTACCGCATCCGAGAACAACAAGATCGATGGCGCCCCCTATGCCGACCACGTGAAGGATATCCTTTTGGACTGTGACCCGAGCCCTCCCGTAACCTCTTCCAGCGCTATCCCATCGAGCACTCCGGTGACCTCGGCCACCCCTTCGCCATCAAGCAGTGCCGTGGCTTCTAGCACCCCTGCCGTCTCTGAGACCCCGTCGCCGTCTAGCAGTGCCGTTCCTTCCAGCACCCCGACTCCTTCTACGAGCCCTTCCCCCTCCAGTTCCGTCGTGCCTTCGAGCAGCCCTGCCGTCTCTGAGACCCCGTCGCCGTCTAGCACTCCCGTTTCGTCCAGCACCCCGGTCATTCCTGGAACATCTGCTTCGAGCAGCCCTGTCTCCTCAAGCAGCGCCGTTGCCTCGAGCACTCCCGTTTCGTCCAGCATTCCGGTCATTCCTGGAACCTCTGCTTCGAGCAGCCCTGTCTCCTCAAGCAGCGCCGTTGCCTCGAGCACCCCTGTCTCGTCCAGCACCCCGGTCATTCCCGGTACTTCAGTCTCTAGCAGCGCCGTCTCCTCAAGCACCGCGGTTGCTTCCAGCAGCTCTGTGTCTTCGAGCACTCCCGTCATTCCTGGAACCTCTGCTTCGAGCAGCCCAGTCTCAAGCAGCGCAGTTGCCTCAAGTACTCCTGCTTCGTCCAGCACCCCGGTCATTCCCGGCGGTTCGTCCTCTTCTAGCGAGGCAGTCGCATCATCGACTCCTCTGATTACCTTGACACTGACAGTTTCGCCTACGCCCGCGCCCAGCTCATCCGGCACGAGCTCGGGTGCTGTTGGCCAGTCAGGCTCCAGCTCTACCGGTTTGTCCAGCTCTACCCAGACTGACGTCGGCACTTCCCCATCGCAAACCGCCGGTCCATCGACAACCGCCACTGCCACCACGTCCTCGTCTTCCTCTTCTACCGACAAGAGCTCTACTACTGTCGGCAGTGGCAACGGCAACGGCAACGGCAGCGGTAATGGCAGCGGATCGACAACCACTACCGCAGCGACCGACTCCATCACAACTGCGCCTACCGCCACCTCTTCAGCTGCCGCTACCGGCGCCAGCTCGGAGCCTGTGACCATTACCACTGTTATCGTGACTTCCTACATCGATATCTGCCCTACTGGCTTCACTACTGTGACCACTACGTACACAACCACATACTGCCCGGGTACTAACACTGCGACCGCCACGGCCACCGTTACAAACCCTCCATCTGGACCTGGTGGAGCCGGATCGCAAACCACAGCGCCCACCGTTCCCGAAGGCTGGACCACTACTGTGACCGTCTGCACTCAGTGCGCTGCCAAGCCAACCACCGTGACGTTGACACTGCCTGTGACTGAAACTGGGTCGAAGTCGACCGGCGTTGTGCCCGCACCCCCTGCCGCTACTAGCGAGGGATCGAACCCTACCCAGCCATCGGGTGCTTCCCCCACCGGTGGTGCCGGGGGCTCTTCTGAAGGAGAGGTTCCTCCTCCAGCAGTGACTCAGGTCAGCACGAGCACCGACATCGTGACTGTGGTTCGTCCCACTTCTAGCCGCCCTGTGATCCTCGGTACTGGCACTGTCCGCCCTTCGTCGACGCTGGCCGTGAAGCCATCGGCCAAGCCTTCGGGTCAAAGCTCCGGCAGTGGCTCCCACGTGCCCATTCCTCCCAGCTACACTCAAGAAGCTGTGTCGCCCTTGTCCACTGGTGCCGCCTCGCGCATGACTGGACTGGGCCACGGCTTGGCCCTCATGGTTCTCGCCCTGTCGGCGTTCCTCGTGTTGTAGAGCGTCAAACCTTGTGAGCTGTCATGTGGGCAGATAATGTATAATGAAGGACTGCTATTCTAGCTGACATTGTTTTTTTTTATATTTTATTTCGATGTGTTTACATTACAATTCGACCCGGTCCAGTCTGCGCTGGACCTTAATTAAGCAGTCCTATACCACTTTGACCCTCGACGCATCGCGTCCAATTTCTTTGTCATTCTCGATCCATGCATGAAGCGTTGGCATATTGTATAGAGCATGAGACTTGCATTTTGACGTCACAACAAACTTCTCCAATAGCATAAGACATTCTCTATCTTTCCAATATTTGCACATTGTAACGGATCAACCATCCATAGACCTAATTGAGCTACTAGAGCGATAACTGGCAGCACCATGAAATGATGATGCCTAAACTTAGTCGTTTTGAGCCGAGCGGGGGGAGATAAATTACCAATTACGCACAGTAGAGAACAAGCTTTCAGGGCCAAGACGGGTCGATCCGACTGACCCAACCGTCATCCGCGTATTGATTTCAATCTTCATTCAGTCTAGCTTTCTAAGATTAATGGTGTCCTTTTCTATTGAACGTAGATGATTGATTGATTATATTACTAAGGAATAAGAGCGTCAGGACCGAGCTCTCATCGTAAGATACTGTAGATACTCCGTAAGGTACGAAGAGAGAAACATCCGTGCTGAGTTGCGCCACAAATACACCTGCGCTAAAACAGCTCAGGGGGCTGATGTGGCTGAACGTTGAAGTGAACCTATCACAGACTGCGCAGTAGGACTGGAGGCCCAGCAATGAGGGGCGTGTCGTGGCTGTTTGGCTGTGAGCGCAGATAGTGAGCGCGATTTTTCTCTCTGGGTCGATATCACTCACTTCCCTATGGATCCGCATCCTGGAGGAAACTAACATAGATAGTCCCTTAATTTAGTAACCCCCCAGGCGATCGGAGTAAACAAATGTAAGGTATAAATATCGAGGATGGACCCTCCTTAGCTGGCGTGATGGAGTCCAGTCTTCTTTTCCCCTCTCTCAGGTCCCCTTCTCTTAAACTATTGACTACGTATTTCATACCTGTTTCTTCTGTTGATTTAAGTCACCATGGACGGCTTCCTCGGTAAAATGATTGAAAAAGTCGCTGAGAAAGCTACTGGTGGCAGCACCAGCAGCAACAGCGGCGGCGGCGGCTACTCCTCCTACAATCAACAGCCTAGCTACGGTGGACAGGGGCAAGGTTACAATTCCGGTCCTGCCCCTCCCCAGGACCTGCCTTACCCGTGGGTCGCCCGCTGGGATGATCGCGACCAGCGCTGGTTCTACGTCAACGAGCAAACCGGCGAGAGGTCCTGGGAGCGACCGTACGGCGGCAGTGGCGGCCCATCTTACGGAGAGCGATCGTACGGCCAGCCTCAGACTTCGTATGGGTATGAAGGCGCGTATGGGCAGTCGCAGGAACAGCGACCCGAACACAAGGATCATAGTATGATGTATGGTGCGGCGGCGGGGGCGGCCGGTTTAGTGGGTGGTGCGATACTGATGCATGAGGGGGAGAAAATCCGTGAGTTGTCCTTGACTGAGCCGAAAATAGACGCGTTGTTGACTCTGTACGATACAGATGAGGACTGGGATGAGGATAAGGAGAGGATCGAGCAGAATGCTGAGGACTTCCCTGAGGATGCTGCACGGTGGACCGGCGAAAAGGTTTGTACAAGCTCTTCTGCCGTGCTTGCGTATGACCTGCTGTACAGATGCTGACAAAAATGGTATTAGGTTGGTGAAGTGGAGGCGATTCCAGAGAATATTGAACAGCGCTGGGATCGCACCGAGGACCGCATCGAGAATAAGTGGGACAACGCAGTCGACGACGTCGAGGACTTTCCTGAGAATGCGGCAGAATGGACTGGACGAAGAGTCGGCGAGGTGGAACAGTTTGGCGACAATATAGACAATGCCTATGATGAGGGAAGGGCTGAAGGTCGGGATGATTGGTAGACGCCTTCATAAGGGGTCGTACCGCATTTTGATAAGGTGATTCATGCATAATTTGCATAGCAGTATTGCACTCATGTACCTGTCAATCAATGCAATGTTTGTAGCTGCATATCCGTATATGCTCTGAAGCTTCACTTGCGGCACTGTTGGTTTCCCCGCACGTGCCCGGGCCTCGGCTGCGGAGAAACGGTTGTACGGTTGTTCAATCATCAGCCTTGGCTATTAGACCGTCGTGCACATCACGCTGCCGGCCAGCGGTGTGGCCTCGACTGTTATTTAATATCGAGTTTTGTCGGAATTGGGACGTCTAGTGACAAATCACCCACACTCAGAGACTGACCCGAACTGCCATGTCCAACTCATCATCCCTTCCACTCGCAGGAGTTCGAGTCGTCGAGCTGGCCGGCCTGGCTCCAGGTTGGTACCATACCTGCATTCGAACAATCTGTCTATGTCTAACCTTATAGGCCCGTTCGCTGGACTTCTACTCGCAGACTATGGCGCGTCAGTGCTGCGCATTGATCGGCCGAATTCCGTCTCCACAGACCAGTTGACTCGCCGGAAAACGTCCATCACGTTGGACCTGCGGGACAAAGCTTCGCACCGCCTCCTTCTCTCTGTACTGTCAAAGGCCGATGTCCTGATTGATCCCTACCGTCCGGGCGTGCTGGAACGTCTGGGCCTCTCGCCGTCCGACGTACTCCTGAAACACAACCCGCGCCTGATTGTGGCGCGCATGACGGGCTTCCGTCGGGACGGCAAATACAAAGATATGGCGGGCCATGACATCAATTACATCGCGGTGTCCGGTGTGCTGTCTATGCTTGGCCGGAAGGGAGAACCCCCCTATGCACCGGGCAACATCCTGGGCGATTTCGCCGGCGGAGGCGCCATGTGCTTCCTCGGGATCCTGCTGGCGCTATTGGCGCGCGCACACACAGGACGAGGCCAGGTGGTGGAAGCCAACATGGTAGACGGGTCCGCGTACCTGGCGACGATGCCGCGACTGAATCGGCAGACACCGCTGTGGAACCTACCCCGCGGCGAGAATATGCTAGACGGCGGCAGTCCCTTCTACGGCACCTACGAGTGCAAAGACCGGGGCAAGTATTTTGCGGTCGGAGCGTTGGAGCCGCAGTTCTACGCGGCGCTGATCAAGGGGCTGGGATTTGAAACAGGGGAGCTCCCCGCACGGGAGGACAGGGCGAATTGGCCCGCCCTGCGAGCCGCGTTTGAGCAGCGATTCAAGGAGAAGACGCGGGCCGAATGGGAGGCCATCTTTGACGGCACAGATGCTTGCGCAACGCCCGTGCTGGAGCAGGCGGAATTGGAACAGAGTGGCTACGAGCAGAGGCCTGCGGTGCACCTGGTTGACACGCCCGGTCCTCCGATCCCGGCTGACGACGGCGGATGGACAGGAGGCGGGCTGTTACCCGGTACCGGCGGGCAGGAGACACTCAAGGCATGGATGGGATGGGAGAAGGGACGGGACTTTGAGATCCGAGGAGATGGCGCATTGGTGTGGATCGAGGGAGGCAAGTCCAAACTGTAGATAGCGTAGCTGATGTCTCAGAATGGCCTTCTAGAGCGACGAGATTATTGGTGGACGCGATCACGATGATACCCATGACCCTCAAGGGAGAGAAGCTTTGGCCATTCAGCATGTGCGGGAATCGCAAGATGTGAGACAAGTTTAGGGCTGAGAAACGAGATCTGGAGATTCAATTGGGTTTCCCTTGGTTGATTTGGTGGTATGAGGAGACGCACAGCCACAGCCACAGTCAGGCCGCACCCGACCCTCGGTCGGTCAATCGGTCCGTCGGTCAGCATCAGCAGGGTAGCAATGGACCATTTCAATTCATACAATTATTTCGACTTCATCCTAACAGATGGGCGATGGAAATTCAAAAAATAATGATCATGCTGCGAAGATGTCTGATTTCAGGCATGTATGCACAAGTTGATTATGCAGACTGCAGCGCGTATCTCCGGTACGTAAACTAGATACACTGGTTACGGCATAAAATACGTACCTAGTACCTTACCGGGCTTACCAGCATCGGAATCCATGGCGAGCTGAAAGGAATCGAAACGGCGGAGATTGCCCCATTTGAGCAGCTCTGAGAAGTGTTACAACGGCTGAATGTAACCTGCAGGAGTTCCGGTGGGATGATTCGATGGACTTAGCGTTATCAATGTAGACTATGTACCTAATCATCGCGTCATTCGATACTTTCACCACTCTTGGGTTGAGGTGACATTGCAGCGGAGAAACACTATACAAATGCTTGATAATCTGTTGCCATTACTGTAAGTGATAGTCAGGGCAAAGTAAGGTAGGTATATGTACCGCCCTTCCTGTGCCTGACTAAAGTCATAAGGTACTCTCTCAGTTCTTTCAGTAGCATTATTGGAACCTCAGGATCCAGGTATACACCAAGGATCTTTCTTCCGTGCTTCCGGTCATATCTCCAGATGGTGGAGTATTCTACGTCATGATGCCCTTTAGTTCAGACTAAATTAACGGACATTCAATGAAGAAACTGATCCGGCTTGTTACTCAGGTACCACAGAGGGTAAAACTGACCAGGCATTCGTACCTTTCGAACCTTGGGGACTTAAAATTGTGGTACGACTCGAAGTGGGTATGGTATTTACCAGTATTGTACCTACCATATCAGGACCCCACGTGCCTGAAACTGTGGCGCAGCACCGCTATACTGGTAGACACAAACCCAGAAAGCCTAAAGCAGATAACGATACCTTAGTATGTTCAGCTGGTAAAACCACAAGCCCCAAATACTCCGTACACCGTATTGATTTCATGGAAGAGAAAGTTAGTGAACTAGTTATCTCATAACCGCTGACAAAGTTAGACAAGACTGACTATTCGCGGTGCGTGCCCTATCCATGCATCATGACTGGACAAGAGAGTAACCCCACAAGGATGACTGCATCTTGACTTTTGAGACTTGAGTCTTGATGCTTCAGTGCTAACTTGGCTGCTTAACGAAAAGCAGCTACGAGCACATTGACAAGAGGCACGGACCTTTGTTTGTTTATTGTTTTGTTGGGTGCTACCTTGTCATTATTACTCTAACATGAAAGCTTTACCTCATTGGTTGTGTGGTTCCAGTGGTGGAAGACAAAGGGAATGTCCTCAAGTCATGACTTCATGGTGATGTCTCTTCCTTGCTCTTTAGTTACCAGGCCAAATTTCAATACTTTTGATTATTAGGCTTTATTATTAAAGTGGTCATGGAGGTATGTACCTACGTAATACTTAACAGTTATTCTGTGGATGAAACATGTGGCTGTGCTGATGTTTACCAATTACCATATCTTCCCTCCCTTGAACTAGATAAGTCTGTGCCTGTATTTGGTAACAGTACCAGTAAGGTACCGGTCCGTACCAACCAAATAACTGGGTCTTGAAAAGCGAACACTACTTACTTTTTTTCTGTGTTGTTCGCCTTCTTTCGCTCATCTCATGGGCCGACCGATCAATACTCCATACTAAGGAATGTTTAAACAGCCATAGCTCTCCTGCTTGTCTCGTCGAGGTTGGCTGATTTCTATTACTTCTTCTTTCTCTCTACTTTTCAGCTGTCATCCTATTGCCAGCGTGTCTCTCCAAAGTGGCTTGCTGAATCTGCAGTCAGATAACCGCCCAAGACCGCCAAGGCCTCCCCCTCGTGCCTGTTCCCAAAGCGGCCTGATCGATCATTCTCCTGTCGCTACTCCTCACGGCATCAAGTGCTGCTCCCTGTAACCTCGACTGAGAACAGAAAATTGGCCGCTTCGAGCATTGGAATCTTTGCGTTTGGTTCATTTTTGAAACTCATTAATCCGCACGATTCCTTTGTTGAACCAATTCTTTTTCTTTCCTTCTATCTTTCCTTCGCTGCAGCCGCCGGATACCGCTGCATGTACCGCACGACGGAATCGCCGGCCAATTCGCTGATCCATCCATCATCGCGCGACAAGACAAACTCGGGTTCCCTTACTTCCAACACGCCTCTTCTTTCCATTCTCAATCAAGGCGACTCTTTGCAGTCGTTTTCTACTCGCCAAGGCAGCTAGTGCCTGCGCTCTGTCGCCTCTACTTAACAGTAACCTTTGGAAACTTCTTTCCTCCCGCAAACTCTCAACCGCTTTCGGTCCTGCATGGCTGGCGTGCAAGCTCCACCCACCATGACCGACTATCGACTCCCCATTCACCAGGCACCGTCTCGGAAGCCCGTCCCTGGCATGCATCGTGGATACCCTTTTCAATCCTACGAGCCTCACCAGCCACAACCGCCGCACCATTATCGTTCGCAGCAACAGCAGCAGCACCACCAACAACAAGAAGTTTCTCCCCATCCCTCCGTCTCCTCGGCCAGCCGCAATCGAGCTTCTTCATCCCATGTCTCGCCGTACGGGGCGCATCAGCAACAATATGCCGGTGCCCCTTCGCCGCATTACACAATGACCAGCCACGTTAGTCACCCGTCGAGGCGCCTGTCTAGTGCAACCACCTCCACCAGCTCGACCGGAAACAACTTTAGCTCTGATATCCGCCGCAGTACATCATCCCGTTCGACCAACGCTCAAGTCGGCTACGTGGCTCTCATGCGCAGGCAGAAGGCAACTGTCTGGTGTGATCGAGCTCAGCCTGAAGATCCCCGACTTCGGGCCCAAAAGCTGGCGGATAAGAAGAGGGCCTACCTGGAAGTCCACGGCGCTGGCGCCGGACGCACCGGTACCCTGGGAAGCGGCAAGAACAAGCATGGAAACAAGGGAGTGACAGAATTTTCGGCGTCAACTCTCGTTGGAGCTACCGTTCCGGTCCGACTCAGTGCAAACGAGGTGGGCGACGGAGACGAGGATGGACACAGTGACAATGGATTTCCTCATCGCCGCACGGGCAGCGGCCGCAGTTCTCTCGGGAGCACTTACCGCTATCCTAGTGGCTACCAGCGGCCTTCCCAGGGCACCCCTGGGAGTAACAATACTCCTCCCAACGAAAAGGCTGATCTTCCAGAGGTTACAGAAAATCCTCCGGCGGAGCGCCACGAGGAGGAAAAAGCCTCACCTGCTAAGGACGATTCTGCCACTAGTCATAGCAAGACCAGTGAGCAAGAGGATAGCTTCGGATCGGTAGGTGACATGGCTGCGCCCAGTGCCGCCACCACCGCTGCTGAGAAGGCCCGGAAGGCGGACGAATTGCGGCGCAGAGGCAGTGTGGACGAACGGACGACCACGATGACGAACGTGCGACTCTTTGTCGCAAATCCCGATCTCAGTGACTGAGTGTTTTGCCCTGCGGACATTTCGCCAGGACTTTTTCGCTTGAGCAGCAATCAGAGACAGCCGGGCTCGGGTTCTGGTAGCAGGACTCATAACTCAATTTTATGCTGGGCATAAAAGATAGGGTCCCGTGTCGCTGATTTCTATCGCTCTCAACAGCACTTACTATCCATTTCCCATGCCTTTCTTTTCCTTTTCCTTTCTGCGGCCGGCTTCCATCTTTACTGCTGCATACTGTTCATGATGGGTTGCTTGAAGGCTCAAGCTGACCCTTTCTCATTTTACGTGGGTTTATTCTACCTCCACTACATTGTTCGACATCTCTGCCTACGGCGCATACGTCTTCATCTGCTCACTGTGTGTATTTTGCATTTGTTGCACCTTTGGGACGCTCTTATACCAATCTCTTGCGCCGTATCGCTAATTCTAATAATATCACTTGTACATACCCAACATTGACTTTTAATTGACGTAGACACACAGCCGCTGACCGTCGTGTTTGTCACTCGTGTACGCAGTACGGGCACAGGGTCGTTATTTACTTTTATTTATTTTTTTTCCTTGAGACGCTATGAGCCTGGTCCCGAATGTATTCCCCATTCGAATGAACTTCTTTCTAGAAATACTCGTTTCACGTTGAACAGACGTGTCTTTCCATTACTCGACACATCACTGTCCACGACTCCGTATGAGATCTATGCCAAAGTGCATCCCTGCCTCAGGCAACCAAGAGATCACGCTTCTCTCGTTCAACGCAAGAAGGAAGAAGGAGTGCTTCTTTGACTCCATCCGACTTCCAATTCCGTCTATACGCTGCCCGGTATCTCAAAGCATCAATTCTCGACGCCTTACGTCCATGCCAGAGCTCAGACACGGGAGAGAGCACGTTTGAAACGCCCGAAACACTCGAAATGCATCCCTTGCACTCCGCAGTACATCGCATGCAACAGTGAGATACCCCCGGGACGCAGACGCAACGCAGGCTGCTCGGGGATGCCGCGGATGCCGCGGATGAAATTGAGCGACTAATGAAGTAGAATAAGTGGGATTTGGCGGCGCAGGTACTCTTACTGGAGGAGCAAATGGGCAGTCGATATCTCCTGGGGTGCTCTGTTTAGGGCTCTGTTTCCGTCTGTGAGTGCTAAAGTTGGAGCGGGTGTTGCAGATGAACTTCTGGGTTTAATTGATTCACTTCTTGCTGAGAGTGCTGGCGCTGCTGAGGATGCCGTTCTGTGTTGTTCAGCGTCTCAACTGACAGAT